AACAGATTTTTATTTGCTTTTGTTTTCCTCTCCACTTGCACAATTATTTTCGCAGAGGAGTTCTGTTTTCTTTACCTAAAAGAGAAGGGAAAAGTAGAAAAAGGAAAACATCCACTATCTTTAGCGCTTAATTTTTTCAAAATAGGAGTCTCTATAAGGGGACCTCCGCTCGGAAGTCACCCGGGATAATTAATATCCCATCTTCTCTGAAAGAACCAAAACTACTTAAATTTTTCTTTTGAAAGCTGTGTCTTTTTTTCTTTGCAAAAATCTTAATCAGAAAAGGGGCAAGGGAAATAAAAATAAACAAAAATCTAAAACATTTTTGATTTATGATGTAACACCCCAGTTTTTTAAAAATTATTGTTAAAAATAAAGCAACACTGCACAGCTGGTGTAGCTCAGTGGTTGAGCAATGACCTATGAACTAGGAGGTCACAGTTCAATTCCCAATCAGGGCACATGCCCGGGTTCTGAGCTTGATCCTCAATAGGGGGTGTGCAGCCCTAACCGGTTTGGTTCAGTGGATAGAGCGTCGGACTGCGGACTGAAGGGTCCCGGGTTTGATTCCAGCCAAGGGCATATACCTTGGTTGCGGGCACATCCCCAGTAGCGGGTGTGCAGGAGGCAGCCAATCAATGATTCTCTCTCATCATTGATGTTTTTCTCTCTCTCCCTCTCCCTCTCCCTTCCTCTCTGAAATCAGAAAGCATATACATATATACATATACATATATATATATATATATCCCCTAAGGCATATATATATATATATACACACACACACACCCACATTCATACCCACCCTAGAGGCCCAGTGCCCAAAATTCATGCGGGGGGCGGGGGGGGGGGGTGTCCCTCAGCCCAGCCTGCACCCTCTCGCAATCCGGGACCACTGGCTCCTAACTGCTCACCTGCCTGCCTGCCTGGTCACCCCTAACTGCTTGCCTGCATGATCACCCCTAACTACTCGCCTGCCTGCCTGATCGCCCCTAACCGCGTCTGCATCGGCCCCTGCTGCTGCGGCTTTGTCAGGAAGGACGTCCGGAATGATGTCCAGAAGGTCGTTTGGCTGTCTGGTCTAATTAGCATATTATGCTTTTATTATTATAGATACTAGAGGCCCAATGCACAAAATTTGTGCAGGGGAGGGAGGTCCCTCAGCCCAGCCTCTACCCTCTCGCAATCCGGAACCCCTTGGGGGATGTCCCACTGTAATCTGGGACCCCTCACTCCTAACTGCCTGCCTGCTCACTCCTTACCGCTTGGCTTGCTGCTCCTTAGCACTGCCGTGGAGGCAGGAAAAGCTCCCACAACCACTGCTGCGCTCACCAGCTGTGAGCCCGGCTTCTGGCTGAGCAGCGCTCCAGCTGTGGGAGCACACTGACCACCAGGGGGCAGCTCCTGCATTGAGCGTTTGCCCCCTGGTGGTCAGTGAGCATCATAGCAACTGGTCGTTCCATTGTTTGATCGATTTGCATTATTAGGGTTTTATTATATAGGATATTTTAAAAAGCAACACTAAAATTGTACAGAACAAAATTTAATTCCTTGGATAATTCAAGAAGCCCATGCTAAGAGAATAAATCATAAAAGAACTCACCATAAGAAAATTTGTAACTATGTGTGATGATGGATGTTAACTAGACTTACTGTTGTAATCATCTTGTAATATATAGAAATATCAAACCATTATGTTGTACACTTGAAACTAATATAATGTTATATTTTAAATTATCCTATATAATAAAAGGCTAATATGCAAATTGTCCCTTTGACTGGGAGTTCAACCAGGGCCCCCCCCCCCCCAAATCAGGGGCAGGGCAGGCAGGCAAACCACCTGGTCCCTCCCCAAGGCCGATCCGGCCCAATCGACCCCGATTGGGGCGGACTGGCTGGACCCCACCCGTGCACAAATTCGTGCACTGGGCCTCTAGTATATCAATAAAAAGAAGAAAATTAAGATTTTCATTAAAAGAGAGCGATAAAATGACTGAGGCTTAGAGAGGCTAAGTAATACTCTGCTTCCAGAAGTTGTCTAAGTCTGTTTTATAACTTGTCACTATAAGCATGTTAATTATATATATATATACATTATTTTTTTTTAAAAAAAAATCTATATCTTTATTGATTTCAGAGAGGAAAGGAGAAGAGGAGAGAGATAGAAACATTAATGATGAGAGAGAATCATTGATCAACTGCCTCCTGCAGGCCCCACACTGGGGACCAAGCCGGAAACCTGGGCATGTACCCTTGGCCAGAATTGAACCTGGGCCCCTTCAGTCCACAGGTTGACGCTCTATCCACTGAGCCAAACCAGCTGGGGCAATTATATATTCTTTATTTCTACTCCATTGAAACATCACGGAGCTCTGGCCAGGTAGCTCAGCTAGAGTGTTGGCCCAATACGCCAAGGTTGTGGGTTCAATCCCCAGTTGGGCACATAAAAGAAGCAACCAATGAATGCATAAATAAGTGGAACAACAGGTTGATGTTTCTCTCTCTCTTTCTCTCCCTTCCCCCCTCTCTAAAATCAATAAATAAAAATAATTAAATAAACAAACAAAAATATCATGGAAAGGTGAAAAAAAAAATACAAAACAATCTCGAGCTTACCAAGAGGCATTATTATAAACATTCATTATCACTGTATAGTAAGAAAAAAATCCTAATTATTTGCACTGTGTTTCTGAATTCTGTACCAGTGAGAATTTATAACATAGTTGGTACCTGCTTTGAAAGCTGAAGATTCATTCTGTTCACAAATATCTACAGTCTGGATAGTCTTTTGGAGAACGCTGACCTGAAAAAGCAAAAAAAAAAAAAAAAAAAGTAAAGAAATAGTCTTTCTATATATGTAATGTTTTACTTTTGAGCTTTAGTGCCACAGATCAGCACTATTCATAAATTAAACTGGTCAAAATTGATATACTCACATAGGAATGTCACACATATGAGATCAAAGTGGACAAAGTAACAAACTAGATAAAACCCAGTGTTGGTAATATAAACTAAAAAAAAAAAAAAAATAAAGAAAACCTTCAGGTTTTTTCCTAATATCTGGTTTTTTAAAAAGTGGTC